CCGGCTGCTAATCCCCTCAGCTGTCTTCCGATCACTCACTTCGAAGCCGTTCAGCTCCCTTTTCCAGCGGCTTTCCAAGGTGAGTTTTTGTCCAGTCAAACTTCTTATGCTCTTGACTAGAGCTAGCGCAACGTTCCACGCCATTAGGGTTGAAGGTAAAAACCCTGCTGGGACTGTTGCTTCAATTCTAAAAGCACTAAAACTGCTCTGAAAAATCACTAATTCAAGAACAGCCCCGAAATGAAGAAGAGCTCTTTAAGCCAATATTCTTGAAAATGTGGTTTCGCTTTCTGTGAACAAAACTCTTCTCAAAACTTTTTTGGTAACCACATCATCAGAAACTGGGTTCCTAGCATCAAAAGTTTTACTTTTTCCTCAGTGGATTATTCCTTCATATAATTGCATTTTCCCAGGATTCACTTCAATTCGGAAACATCGAAATTCTTCGAAAAATTGTGCTGCTAAATCAAATATAAGAACTGCTACCATGATGCGCCACACCCGCGCCCATACCATAAATTCGAAGAGGCGTTTGAAAACACGCTACTTCTTGCTTCGCTATACCTATATCGGCGATTAATAGTGACATCGCCAGAGTTCTGTTCCTGAGATTGTGCTCACGACCCCCCTGCGAAAGTTGAAAACGACTCCCTCCTTTACACTAGTATAAGCAGATAGCTGACCCTGATTGGGCGCCACTTGGGTAACGACAGCGGGTGGGCCACTTGATATAGCGAAGTCGCTGCGTCTTCACAGCTGGTCGCTTGACCAACACGGTCCGTTAGTCTTTTCAGGGCCCGGTAGCGTTTTCTATAGCAGTCATGTTAGTAGGATGTGAGTAACAATGTAGCACGTCATGCGTACAAGACTTACAGCTTTCGAGAAAAACGAAGCGAACTAGATATCTAACCTTTTCAGGCGATAACGAGGAGTCGCACTACGTAGTGGATTGTAGATGAATTCTTCGAAGTCAGAGGAAGAACTTGCAGAAGACAAGCTACCACGTCCACAGCGAAGATCTGCGTAGGGAAGCAATTGCGCTATCATTCCTTTTAAACGGCTTAATTCTGAAACGACAACGGAAATTCAATGAAAACATTTGAGTCCTGAAGAAGGGAACATGAGCATTGTGTTGGCCTAGACAGAAAGCATAAAAAACTAACGATTCTCTTTCATAAGATCGTTGAGGGGAGCCGGTGTTGGAAGCAGCCGGGCATTCCTCCGCTTTCGGTAGAGAATTGTGGCAGCGCATCCCTACATTATAAACAAAAAGCGATTGCTCATATTGCTACTGTTTGTTCGCTCCCAATGAAGTTAGAATGATGGATCAAAGGTTTTCCAACCGTTGTGATGAAAGTCTTTCGCAAAAAAGTAATCGATTCATAGAGGGAAACAATCTAGACAAATCTGCAATAAAACCTTGGTCTATTAGTGAAAAGCTTACTTTGACAATTTCCCGTTCTTCATTCCACTCCATTGCCACGCATACCAGTGCAGCAAGAACTGAAAATGGACGAAAACTACAAATATGCACAGTGCTCCTGTAAATGTAACGGACGGTAAGACCTCGGTCAGACTCGGCGATTGCGTCGCTGTACACCAGCGACGGAGTCGCTGGGCGACGATAGGATATAATCAGGAAAAGACTGCGTGGGATGCACTTGAATGCGAGGAAAGTGGTCCTGTAATAATTGACGTGATGAAATGACCCACCAAAAGAAGTTGTGAAATACAACTATCATGGATTTTCCCACTCGATCAAAGAACCAATCAAGTTTCGAGCTAGTTACTTCAAGATACCTTTGAAGTTATTACAATGACAGGGAGGACCACTATCCTGATTAAGAATTTGAAAAAAAAACCGAGCAGAACAACATGAACGATGGGTGAGGATGATTAATCTCCCCCTGCCAACCGATATCGATCGTGTGCTGAGTCATCGCCCGTTGCTGCCACTCTTGTGCCGGGCAACTCCGTCGCCGGCCGTGGCGGGGGGCGCCCCGCACCCCCACGGGCGCCCCCCGGCGGCGGGGGGGCGGCGCGGGGAGCCCCCCCCCCCCCCCCCCCCCCCCCCCCCCCCCCCCCCCCCCCCCCCCCCCCCCCCCCCCCCCCCCCCCCCCCCCCCCCCCCCCCCCCCCCCCCCCCCCCCCCCCCCCCCCCCCCCCCCCCCCCCCCCCCCCCCCCCCCCCCCCCCCCCCCCCCCCCCCCCCCCCCCCCACCCCCCGCCCCCCCCCACCGCCCCCCCCCAGCGACCACGCCCTCGTCGCCGTGCCTCTCACCCACCCCCCCCCCTCCGGCTACCACCCACCCCACTCCACGGCGACTTGCCGCCTCCTGCTCCGTACCACCAGCTACGGAGTACCCGGACGACGCGACACATCACACGCCCACAACAAGCTACGCGCAGCACACGGACCCCGATGACCCTCAGCAGCACGATCGAGTATTCGGGTTGGCAGGGGAGATTTAATCATCCCTCACCCCATCAAGTCTCATCCGTTCGTTCTCGCTACAGGCTATTTTCTTACCGAATATCTTAAATCAGACGAATAGTGTCCTCCTCACGTTTCACACCTCTTCCCCCCTCCCACAACCCCCCCCCCCCCATTGTGTGCCTTCAAAGGTATTCTTGCAACCAGCCGCTACCACCCCACTAGCATCGAAACATTGCATCGGTCTTGGATCCGAGTGGACAATATCAATATGACAGATCTCAGATAAGACTTCACTAAACCGTCGTTTGGGTCATTTCATCACGTCACACTTATTGCAGGACGCACGTTCCTCGCATCACCCGATGCCACCTCCCAAGCAGTCCTATTTCCTGATCTATCCATCCATATCCCGCATCTAGAATTTGAAAAAAAAACCGAGCAGAACAACATGAACGATGGGTGAGGATGACTAGTCTATCCCCTGCCACCAATATTATTCGTGTGCTGAGTCATCGCCCGTTGCTGCCACTCTTGTGCCGGGTACAGCGACGCAATCGCCGAGTCTGACCGAGGTCTAAGGAGTCCTGCACCGAGGAGACTAGCGCTTGAACCAGTGTGATTGGACTCAGTAAACTCGTATGTGGTGCCCTGTGAAAGGTGTGTCGATCAAGCTGTAGCTACGGCTCAGGATACTACAAGTAGTCACTGCTTACTGTATGATACGCCTCTAATCTAAAAGAATGTACGAGAGTGCGATTGTGCAACTCTCTGGATTAAATCGTATTGACCAAGCAATCGCGCACCTTAGCCATTGCCGGGTTCATGTTTCCGTCGTAACTACAAAACCGAGGTTTCTCACGGCGCTTATGCATGTGGTACCACTGACTCTTGCCAGATCTGGTATCCGCTCCCGCTGAACTCATTAAGAGCGCGAATTCTGTCGCAAACGGTGCATGGACTTATTCCGATCCGCGTCGCGCAGGCATGGATGTATTGCTCCTCGCATAAGCTCAGAAGCATCGGAGTCCACCCTGCTCAGTCCATTTTCCTAACGGACACCTAGTAGGCCCGGGTATGGTTCACTAGGACAGAAAGCGATTTTTTCGCGCCTCGCAGCGCGAACTTTTTTCGCTGCGGGAACCTCGGGTCTGATGATCAGAGGTGGACCCGAGGTTCCCGCAACGAGGCGCGAAAAACTCGCTTTCTGTCCTAATGAACCACACCCGGTAGGCCCTGCAGCGCCGACTGGGAGTATGCCATGACCCACTACGAATCGCACTGCCATGGACTACGCCGTGATGTTAACACTCTACTATGCTACGATGGGTTGATAGGCCCGATCTACGGGCATCACACTCTTTTTGTGGGCATACAACACATTTAAATATAGAAAAGGCACGTCACGGATGTCACCGTCTGATATATTCCACACAACATAACAAGTTAAAATCACAGATTCATATACAGAAACTACATATTGAACTATAGAGAAAAATAACACTGTAACACTATGCGACGAATTACGTCCTAGCTCACGGCTCAAACCCAGATGTATACATTACGAGGGGAGGGGGCACGTGGATTGCGCTCTGCTGCCCTCGGAAATCAAGCCCGGATCAACTTTCAGGTCGTAAGATTCGAATCGTGCTGCGGTGACACCGGAGTACGGAGCGATGACGAACGGCTAGACTCGACGGCGGTGACACGTAGACTGACTGCAGGCAAGGGCGCCTGCGCTCTGCTTCTCTGACGCTCTTCGCGAAGCTTCGATGGCACGGGCGCGCCAGGACCCGCGCACACCCGACCAGGCGCGACCCTTCAGATTAAGTCGTACGAAGTCACAACAATTCGCATCGGTGGCCTCTGTCTAGCAAATCTTGACGCCTTTACGGTCCGAGGTCTTTCCATTGAGCTCACAACATAGGAACACATAGAAATAGGGCAAAACCCACATAAGCATAAATAAACATATTGAGTAATATATACTATAAGTAATGAATACAAACGCATCCGATCTCTCGGCCACCTCGCTCAAAGATAGACCAGACCAGCTGATTGTAACGCATTAGACCTCCTCGCTCGGGCATCTTCATCGACGTTATACGTGGCGCGTGTCACCACAAGACGAAATAAATGAACAGAGCTGCTCAGTACGGGCATGTGGATCAATGCGAGCTCCTGGTGGACGTTCCGTTGGACGCAAGTGAGATGTTCCCACTAGCCTCTCGGTCGGTCCCCTCGCTTTACCCAAGAAATGACGTGCCACCGGCTTACCAACTTCGTTGACAACCAGCACCTATCCAAGCGATGGAATTTCAAGGATCAAGGGCTTACATTCCTACCCATAGCTCACCTGGCAGCTAGGTAACAACGCGGCCAGCCACCGCTTCCCGCGGTGATAGTAGGTGAACTGCGGCTGGCACCGGCCGTAGGAGGCGGAGCCAATACCTCAATGGGCGCAATGCGCAGCTTTTTTCCTATCAGCAGTTACTCGCCATCTAATCTCGATATCCGAGAGTTGGGGTAGGCGTGTCACCGGAAGTGACGTGCACTTGATAGAAACTATGTGGATAAGCTGCTTCCAACATACATCGCTGGATATCAGCAAAGCATGCTGGCAACAGCTTATCCACGCAACTTCTATCAAGTGCACGTCACTTCCGGTGACACGCCTACCCCAACTTTCGGATAGACTGTACAACTTTATTATTGTCCGTTTTTACCCCGAGAATTCGATCTGGAATTGCGGCTTTAGAGAGAGAAATGTTGCATAGAGGAAAGACTCAAGAAGTTCCAGCTGGCTAGCAAAGTTGTAAGCATTATGTCTTCGCGCTTCTACTTCACGTCTTCACTGTGGCTGCTTCCTTGTTTATGTACTTAACCAACTGCTACTGGTTGGCCGCTAATAACGTGGATATTGTGCAAGAAGAAAAAGGAGAATACTAGGAGATACAAGCATTCTTAGCAAAAGCATTCTTTCTCCACACTTCTTGAGCAAAAAATGTTGACACAAAAGGAAGATATTACCGCAGTGAGGTATAAGAGCGTTCTCTCGCGTTCGACAATTCGTATCAGCTTAAAAGCCTTTCTTCTGCATTCATAACAGCCCTAACTTTAAAGATCACGTAAATTTATTATGACCACAGACATTAAATCCACTCCAACCACAAGCACGAATTTTATTCAAACATTCAGCATGCAAAACTAAATCGTCACTACAAGTAACCCGTGAGAAAGTTTTAGTCTAAAAAGCTATCGAGTGAACTGAATGGAGTTTCATTGTCCTATCAGAACTATAGAAATAACAACAGATGTACAAACTTGGTTTTCTAAGTGGCGCCATATTTACAATCTACTTGTCTATATTAGGAAAAATACAACGATGACAGCACAAAAAGGATCAATTAAATGCTATTACTACTGACCAAATTCAAGGAAAAGCAGTCAAAGGAAACTAGCGCACGCAGAGACTCTAGAGTTGTTGCAGATGCAACAAGATGATTTTGAACGGTAGAATTCACGACGTCGGCAGCTGGTCGATTGGTGTGACGAACTTGAAGTCGTCCGGGAACAGTTCCGCCGCTCGCGGGTACAACAGCTTGTATGTTTGCTTTACCGTCACTTCTGCTGCACCGGCAATCTCACCAATGTCTGAATTTTTCCTTTAGTCCTTTAGTAAAACCAAACGAATCACCAGAGTACAATACACCCAGAGTTCCTAAAACACACCTTTAGCTGATCGTTTTTCACTGGACGCCTGCGAGGCCATATAAATGGCGGCTGCAGCGATGGAAATAGGTGAACGGCTGGAACAAACAAAAAATTGCACAAAAAGCAATATATGTCTTAGTAAAGGCAACAGAACGCGAATCATACCCAGCAACAAGGTCCATTTCAACAGCACGTTTAGCAATACGAGTGGCTGCCGCCTGAAAAAGTAGACAATTATTTAGCACAAAACTGAAGGCAGACCTAATAAACATTTTCCATGCGGGAAACCCTGATTATCTTTCGATTTTATAAAGCGCTAACTTGGTGTGTCGGTTTGTATGTATGTCTGTCTGTATGTCTGATAATGAAGAAATGAAGTGAGTGATAAGGGAGCTAATGGAATAAACAAGTCGCTAGCAAATGTGGGTAGCTCGCAGAAGTTGAGCCATCACGATTCGCAATGACATGATTGTGATAACACCCCAACGGGTATGTAAACACCTGGGGTCGTATGCTATGCTTCCCCGAAGCTAGGTGACGCAAAGTTTCCT